AATCTAACTCCGAAACAATGCATCGATCGACTTCATTTGGCTTTTGGGGATGAAACACCATCCAATAGGATTGTTTATAATTGGTTTGCCGAATTCCAGCGTGGACGTATCTTTCTTAGTGATGAATTCCATGAAGGTCGTCCATCCACGTCTGTTGTTGTCACTAATGTTGATGCTGTGCGTGAAATGATTGAGCGAGACCGGCATATACATAACATACCGCGAGATTCAGGCATCCTTAGGCATTGATATGAAAGCAACATACGAAAGCACATACAATTTTGCATGATCACTTGAGCGTACGGAAACTTTGCAGTCGTTGGATCCCACACAATTTGACCGAAGCTCAAAAACAGGCTCGTGTTAAATGGAGCAAAGAAATGCTCAAGAAATTCAACCGAGGTCGGTCAAATTTGGTCTACAATATCGTTATTGGGAATGAAACATGGATCTATTCGTATGAGCTCGAAAGTAAACAACAATTCGCTGTTTGGGTATTTCAAAATGAACCGAAACAAAAGTTGTTTGTTCACGCAGTGCTGCCAAGCAAATGATTGCTTGTTTCTTCGGTTATACCGGACATGTGACAACCATGGAGGATTTAGAGGATCGAAGGACTGTAAATACTGATTGGTATACAACAATTTGTTTGCCAGAAGTCATAAATAAATTGCGTAGAACAAACCGAAATCGTCGCATCATCCTTCATCATGACAACGCTGTCACATAGCACGTCAAACCGTTGATTTTTTATCCAGTAATAATGTCGAATTGATGACTCATTGTCCGTATTCACCTGATTTATCGTCTAATGACTTCTTTTTGTTCCCAAACATTAAAAATAAGATGCGTGGTAAGCGATTTGAGTCGCCTGAAGCAGCTGTTAAAACATTTCGTACACTGATTTCTGAGGTTACAGCCTTAGAGTGGAAAAAATGCTTCGAAAATTGGTTCGAGTGTATGCAAAAATGTATCAATCTTAAAGGCGAATACTTCGAAAAACAATAAAGCCATTTACCGAATTTTACATGTTTTTTTCATATTGTTTGCAGAAACTTTTCCAGCCGCCTACGTATATTTTTTCTTGTTATATCTGCGGTAGGAACTCCAAAAGGATTCCTTGGAATATCATTTCAGGCCATCTTAATGGTACACATTAGCACATCATAAAATTATAATTGTTCGTCTTTCAATTTAATCGTTAGTGAAAAGTCTACAAAGAAAATCGTATCGAATGTTTATTGTTTATTAAATCAATCATATGGATAATATGCAAACGTGAAATTGTGTAAATTAATTGTAAAATAGTTATTTGTGATTACGTATCCATTTGGTAGTTATACCAAAACTTATCACCATGGCATATTCTGAAATTGATCACGAATGATTCTTTGAAACAATTCTCCGAGATCATCACCAATTTCTAGTATTTCGCTTACTCAAACATCTATGTCATTGAATGAATTGTTGCATAATCTGAGGAACTTCTCCTGGATCTTACACGAAATATGCGAATATTTTTTTTACAAGTACTGCTGCTAACTGTACAAAAAAATGAGTTTTATACAACATACCGATATATCTATGCTATTAAAATGGGATACATGATTAACTTTCACCAGATTGTAGGCACAATGAACGCTATTATAATCAGGTATCTCATGGTCACGTCCTCTCTATATATTAAGTGCCATATCAAATCCCTTCTGGAAAATTCTAATGGACCGAATAAACTATCGCGTAGATCTTCAACAATTTTATGATTCCCTTTTTCGCATAATTAAATAGCCGTCCCCATTATTAGTAATTTCTCCATATCAATATCTTTTATTCTTGTTAAATTGGCATAGAGAGAATTCTAAACGATTCATCATTCACATCACATGTGCGTTTTGAATGTCGAAACATCAAAATTTTCATGTATAATTGTCAAATACTTATGACATGCAGTAATTGCATATTCTAATTGGATAGGGTTCCAAGGAGCAATTATTCTTCTCATAGTTGCGTAAGTATAATATACATATAGTATTATGATTATTGCGATAATCGCATTTTATTATTATTATTATTATTATTATTATTGTTGTAATTATAACATACATCTTTAGATTATAAGACACAGTTTTATATCTTACGACTTTTAATTAATACAAGCTTATCTGTTAATTAAAAATCAAGTTTTTTTTGTATCACCTTGTACCTTATACAATTGAATGAGAAAAAGAACGCAAACACATGAATAACATGTTGCAATATTATCAACATTGACGATACGTCGAACATATAATATTTGTTGTTAAAAATTGAGAAATAAAAAATATTGTTTACCTGGTGGAACCAAGGTATGCCCAAAGCCAAAAGCGGCTGATTGGAAAAATTGCTCTATCTGCGGATGGATTGTAACCTTTGAACAAATTATCATTTGAATTACATATAAATTACAAGTAATCTAATAAATTGTTATCTATTGTGTACGTAAAATTAGAAAATTGATACTTTTTATCTTCGTACATAGGAAGCCTGTTTTCCAACCATGAAGGTAACCATTCGTTAATGACAATGTATTGCTGAGTCGCTATCATCCATTTACGGGCTTTATTAAAAATTTCGTCATTCGACCAATTTGAATTGTGACGTTTAATATGAGATGCTACGAAATTGAGCCATCTAAACCATATTATACCGAAAGTCAGCAGGAACGGATTTTCGTTTCCTCAACGATTTCCTAATTCTGAAACACATATGTTTGAATTGCATTGAAATCAAATCAGGCGATAACGATCAGAAGTTTGCTCGAAATTTAATTAAGACTGATTACGGTATTTAATTAAAAATGTATCTTGCTCGATTATTGAGGAGTAAAGAGATACTGCGGGTGAAGATTCCCACAGGCGAAATGCCCCATAGATCGGTCACGATGATGACAGTGCGCGAAGCGTTAAATATGGCCCTCGACGAGGAGTTAGCTCGGGACGAGAAGGTATTCATATTAGGAGAGGAGGTTGCAGAATTTGACGGCGCTTACAAAATAACGCGTGGTCTCTGGAAGAAATACGGTGACAAGAGATTGATCGATACACCAATTACGGAGGCTGGATTCTGCGGTATTGCCATCGGTGCAGCGCTACTAGGTCTAAGACCGATATGCGAATTTATGACTTTCAATTTCTCCATGCAAGCCATTGATCGTATCATCAATGGTGCTGCGAAGAATCTCTACATGTCCGCTGGAAGATTTCCCGTTCCTATTCTATTCCGAGGGCCGAATGGTAATGCCAAAGGTTTGGCTGCACAGCACTCTCAATGTTTTGCCGCATGGTACATGAGTGCGCCTGGCTTGAAAGTCGTGTCGCCGTCGACCTGCGAAGATTATAGGGGCTGCTTGAAGGCGGCCGTACGAGATCCCGATCCCGTAATCATGTTGGAGAGTGAACTACTTTACAACACTGAGTTTCCTGTGTCTGATCAAATTATGGACAAGGACTACCAGATACCTTTCGGCAAGGCTAAGGTGGAGAAACCTGGAAAACATATTACTCTAGTGACACATGGTCAGGCGTACCTGTATACGCTTAAAGCGGCCGAATTGTTGGCAGGACAAGGAATCGAGGCGGAAGTTATCAATTTACGATCGCTGAGACCTTTAGATTGGGATATGGTATTCAAATCAATTGGCAAAACACACAGGTTAATGACCGTCGAACTGGGCTGGCCTAGATGCGGAGTAGGAGCCGAAATCGTCGCGACAGTGATGGAAAATCCAGTCTTCTTTCAACTGGACGCACCTGCGGTTCGATGCGCCGGCGTTGACGTTCCGATGCCTTATTCAGAGAAGATCGAGTACGAATGTACCCCAAAAGATCATCATATAGCTGACTATGCTAAACGCATCTGTGGCACAAAATTCTGATATAGTTTATCATTTGTGGACAATAAAGTTTCTCACTTACTGAAATATCTGATGATACTCTTGGTGTAATGTCGTGAAATATATTGATGATGATGAATAGGTGGCGATGGATTGACCATCGGTAATTTAACGGTATTATAATCGGGATACAGAGGAAAATCCGACGATGCGAGTTGCCCGTCCTCCTGCAATATTCCACTGGTAGTCGGATCACTTTGGATGTATCATAAATCAATCCATCGTCTAAGTATGGTGTAATCTCGTTCAGCTGTGATATATTGCATATCGAAGTTTTGAGCAATGTTGAAAAACAATGTCGCTTGTTAATGGGGTTGCTATGTTTCGAGGATCGTAACATTGTCGTAGGATTGACGAGGATTATTCGGCGAATGACTCGTCCGATAATCGCATTGTATACGTTAAACAAGCCGTCCGTATGTCCTGGTTTACTTCTGTATCGATGATTCTTTGGAATTTTTATATTAATATATTCATGCTGGTGAGCATGCTCGTCTCTGAGCTAAAATTTCCTCCACCATCTGTTGACTTGTTGAGAATTTTTCTATTGTATTCGTTTAAATTTTATATAATAATACTGTCCTAGTCCTATCTAGTTATCATTTAGTTCCTGAAACTCTAAATACATCTAAAAAAACTCAACAAATAGGAAATAGGAAATAGCCATAACGATCGAATGTTAACATCTAAAAAATATAATTTTATATTGATCATATATTGATCATATATTGAGCATAATATAAATTGAAATTCGAGGTGTAAATTTATCAATGATAGTAATGTAATTTTAAATATTTAATATAGTTGTAACATATATATAAGATAAGTCGTATTCGCGTATACATATTCGCAAAATACAAGTAGAGCGTTTCTCTCTGTTCTTGATTTAGATCTAATTTTTTCCACTCAGCTTTTCACTTACCTCTAATGGTTTTGGTCTTTTAGAGGCTTATACACTTCATCTTCGTAAGCTGTTGGCAGTCTTCTCAATAACGGAGTATCGACTGTCCGTAGTTTTGGTCTACCAACGTTGTATTATCCATCGTAACCAGGATATTCAATTGCAGTATGATACGGTGAGCATTTATTCGATTGATTACTATTATGTTCAGTAAATAATCAATCTATCAAGTCCTTGTCGAAAGTTTTGTCAATTTCTTTTTTTCCAATTTCTTGCCCGACTTCTTGAAAAATCTAGGATATAGAGAGACACATACTATAATGTCAATTCAATATGTAGAAACTGTAAAACGAAAGAGCAAAACAAATATAAGAGATGATTTAAAAAGAAATTACAAGTTTTATATCCATATTTATGTAAATTATAATATGAGATATTTGTATGTATGTATATTTATTCGGGTTCGACGCGGATATAGGTGGAAGTTGCTGTTGTGTTATAGTATTTTGTACAGTAATTATAATGAAA